TTTTCTTTATAGGTTTTTTAATGTATTTTTGTCTCTTTTTTTTTTTTTTTAGAAAAATACACGTGCAAACAACATATTGTCACTGCTAAACTTCTCTAGTGTTTGGAAAAGAATCAAGGAAGAAACCAGGGACCAAAAAAAACAGAAAACGAACCTACAAGCGGTTACGCTTTACTAATCCCCTGCTACTGGGAGAGGGTGGAGAGTTCATTGATGGGGCTGGCCTGTACAGCTGAGATCCACCACACAGGTTTAATGCAGTGTTTTATCCTCATGCAGTTCAACTCTGAGCTCATCTCGACCCCCCGGAGAAGCGGGACACACGCAGAACTTGGGCTCCGCAATGCGACATCCAGCCCTGCCCCTCCGAGATCCAGGACGGGGAAGGGGGTTTGGCTTCCAGCAGCATAAATATGTTTTGCAAGAGGACAGCAGTGGCTCGGGTACAAAGACTGGTATGGTTAAGGTTTCTGGTCAGGTGCGGCTGGAATGACCTGAACTCTCCCCAAACCCTTCCCAGCGGCGCACTGGACCTCACTGCATCTCCCAAGCAGAGCCCTTCTTACTGTGACCTTCTGGAGCAGAGACACCCATCTCAAAAGGAGACTGCAGGGCAATTTTTGAAAAGCTCTTGCCCATGCTGAGCCATTACCCGTTTGGACAGGGGTTGTTTTGGCCAGCGGAGCAACAGAGAGCTGCCCTTTCACTCCTTTCAGCTGACTCTCCCACAAGTCCAGCTGGAAAATGCAACCCAGAAACTAGCACTTCCAAAACCTCCTCCTTCAAGCAACACAGCGTGGGCTTGAATGATGAGGTCCACCGTTTCCCTACCACCTTGACTGATGCTCAGAGCAAGGTTCAACCTATTCTGTCCAGTTTGACCCAAGTTTGTCCTGTGACTGGGAGGACAGGTCGGGGGCATCAGAAGGACAGAAAGCAACACAAGCAAAGCACCTTTGGGAACCTCACGACTCAGTCTCAGATTTAAAGAGGGGGAAAACTCTGACCAGTCAGCGATGAGATGCTTTTCTCAAGACACATAATTATGGGGGTGGGGGGGTTGAATTAGCAGCTCCTTGACAATGCAATGATTGCATTAAACCCCCAAATGCTTAACTCGGGGCAATCACTGCATATTGCAATCATTGCATGACTGCAAGGATTCACATATTGCCAGGGTGAAAGCCTCAGTTCTCCATCCTGACCAGGTACAGTGTAGACCTGGGGGCCTCCTCTGTAGGACGGTTTTAAAGAAGGAAGTGGAAGATTGACTAAGTTTCAAAACACACGGCAAAGGTCAGCAGACCCCTGGGCTCTGGCCCAAACAGCACGTAAGCGGGTGCATACCTCCAAGCAGGTGACCCACCCCACTCAAATCCCAAGCTTCGAGGTAGACATGTGCCTAAGTACTTTGCTGGCCCTGGCTACTGCAGCAATGGTGTTAGGACACAAGACCTCCTTTAGACTGTGGGCACCTAATATAATTTCTCCAAAGCCTGGTTACACAATGGGGTTGGCACTGCTCCCTTTTTTTCCTGCCTCCTTGGGGGTCTGCAGGGGAGGGAGAGCGGTCACTGTGGTCTGGCAGACTTGCAGGGTCCTTCTCCTCAGGGTGGCTCATGTCTCATAGGAGAGCCACTGGCCAAAGCCCAGAGCATGGAGCAGGGAAGAGGACCTGCTTTCCCTTTCAGCTTTCACAAGTTAAAAAAAACCCCATAACTTGGCTGGATTGCCAGCACCAAACGCTGCTGCTTCTCAGCACTGCAAGGAGGTTGTCCCACGGTGGCGGAGGGTGTTTCACACGG